TTGTTATCATTATTATATTTATATATTATATTCATTTATTTTATCATCAATTAGTCAGTAGTAGTAGTAGTAGTAGTAGTAATAGTAGTAGTAGTGGTATCATTATCATTATCATCATTATTATCATTATCATAATCATTATTATTATCATTATTATTATCTTTATTATTATTATCATCATTGTTGTTTGAATATCATTAATGTTATGCATATCAGTTATTTCTAGTATAATTATCATTATTATTTTACTATTAGTATTATTGTTATTATCATTATCATTACTTACTCATTGTTTTAAAATACTATCATNAGGACACATACGGTATATGTACCACAGACAGACAAATACGCGGCAGACCACATAACCACAGAGACACGCACATAGGCATACACATAGACGTATACAGACATACGTGCACACAGACACATGCATGGGTGCACATACAGACGTATGATGATGGTAATAATAATGATAATAAACAGTTAACAATTATGATAACATTAACATAAATGAAAAATATGATAATGATAATAATGATAATAATGATGATAATAATCATAACAATGATAATACTAATAACAATGATAATAATGATGATGATGATAATAATAATAATAATAATAATAATTAATGATAATAATAATAATAATAATAATGATAATAATAATATTAATAATGATAATAACAATAATAATGATGTTGACAATAGTAACACTGATGATAAAAGATATTTACAATATCAATAAAAGTAACAATGGTAATAACAAAAGTAACTATGACAACAACAACAATAGCAATAATAATAAGATAACACTAATAAAGTTGCACGGATCTCCCGCATGAGTGTCGATAATCGCAACAAAACAAATTCAGAAAATAGATAAGAAAATGATAAAAATAAGAAAATGAAAATGATAATATGAAATGATAACAGCAATAACAACGATGAAAGGATGATTATGAAAGTGATGATAAAGATAATGAAAATAACATTGATGAAGTTGCACTTATCTCTCGCATTAGTGGCGGATGAGAAGGTTGTCATGGTGGCAGATTCAAGGTTGTCTTGCTGTCGCGATTTTAACTCTTATTTCCCTAATTAATTCTCTCCATTATGCTTTAATTCAGATACGTGATTGACCGAGGTATTGGCATGGTTTTAACTGAGATAATTGTGTGAAAAAGAAAGGACGTTGTTTGTGTTGTTATAAAGGGGTTTGTTTGGAGATAAGGTTTTTGTTTACTTTTAAGATCATTTTGAAGGATTTACGAATTATTTTTTAAAGAATAATAGAATTTTATAGATATATCATAGGTTGGAGATGATTTTGTGGGTGTTGATTTAGGGGATTATTTGTGCTCTGTTAGATTTATGGATGAAATTGATTTGTACGTGTTTGTATGATGTTAATCTGAGAAATGACCTATATATGTTTATTATGAATTAATAGCTCTGCGGGTAATAATCCAAAAATTATGCAGAAAAAGACAAAAGGTAATGGGATGTTATGGTCATAGAGATTATGAGGTGACAGTATTAAGTTTTTACAAAAATTATGATATATTATTAAAAAAACAATAAGTTTTAAGTAAGCCTACAGTTTCTGGTTAGGGTCAAGTCTCTATATCAAAAGACAGGTACAGGTAAATTTAACACTGAATACTCTGCCACGGCATTTAATGATACAGACCTATTCCAGATGATTAATGATACAACAAAATAAAAATTATACAACATTAACATGATACAGACCTGTTAAGGATAATTACTGATATGTGAGATGTACATAAATAATATTTTCTTCTTTTTCATTTTCCGTCATGAATGCAGTTATGCATCGCAGAGATGATGGACACCGATCCCATACAGGAGCTCCACAGGGCAGCCGAGCAGGGTGACCTCGATCATGTCATGGCTGCTCTAGAAACAGGTTTTTTACCCGAATATTTGTTTTATTAGATATCTATTTGTAGATGCTCATTTGTTTGTTAAATGTGTATGTATACATATTTTTCTTAATTATTTGATTTTGTTCTTGAAATTCTTGTATCTCTCCTCTCTCTCTCTCTCTCTCTCTCTCTCTTCTCTCTCTCTCTCTCTCTCTCTCTCTCTCTCTCTCTCTCTCTCTCTCTCTCTCTCTCTCTCTCTCTCTTCTCTTTCACTTTTTCTCTGTCTACCTCTCATTAGTTTTAGTTGCTTAGCCTATATTTTCTTGTATCGGTCACTTTTCTTCTCTCTCTCTCTCTCTCTCTCTCTCTCTCTCTCTCTCTCTCTCTCTCTCTCTCTCTTCTTCTCTCTCTCTCCTCTCTCTCTCTCTTTTCCCCCCTCCCCCTCTTTCCCCCCTCCCTCTCTTCCCCCCTCCCCTCTCTTCCCCCCCTTCCCTCTCTTCCCCCCTCCTCTTTCCCCCCTCTCTCTCTTTCCCCCCCTCCCTCCCTCTCTCCCCTCTCTCTCTCCCCCTCCTCTCCCCCCTCCCTCTCTCTCCCTCCCCCCTCCCTCCC